CGTTTAAAAAAAAGGCCCCGGCGAAAAACCAAAAAATAAAAAACCAAAAATCGAAAAAAAAAAAAGGATTGTTTTAAAGTAAAGGCTTTGCTGGAATATAAAAGGTTTTTGCGAAAACGAAAATACTTGGTTAAATAAATAGGTTATAACGAATCGGAAAATTTGTAAATTCCAAAAAAAAATATTACGAAAAAAATTGTTTAAACGTATAAAGCAAATTTATTGGAAGCGAGTTTATAGGATAGGGAAAATACCGGACTTTAACGGGTAAATACCCGGAAAAAACGGGGGTATTACAGGAAAAAAATGATAAAGGCTAAAAGAATGGCCCAAAAAAATGTTTTAACGTGCCGAACCGGCTAGCTACCGGAAAAAAACGTAAAAAAATTTGTAAACGGTTTGTAATAGCCGTAAAATATCGTGCTTTATAAATAAAAAATTAAATAGGGACGGTATAATACGGGGAACGCCTTAAATTAATAGTGCGATATATTTAAATCCCGAAGGATATGCAAAGTATAGCATATTTTAAAAAGCCCGTAAAAAGCATGCTTAGCGCAATACGCTAAAGCAATTACCGCATTTTAAACGTACGTTGTAGTAAAAAATACCATTGCTTGCCCAAAAAGGAAATAAAAAAATTTCCGAATGGTATAACGAACGGGCTTAAGCGTTTGGGTAACGGCAAATGCATATTAACGGTATTTAAACCCATTGGGGGGGCAAAAAAAAAGCATTTTAAAATTATTTATTAAAGTATTAAAGCTTAATTAGTAAATATAAATACCGGAATTTCGCAATGCTGCAAAGGTAGCATAACGAAAGGAAATTATAATTTTAATTGTAATAAATTAACGAAAAAAACTTAAAACTAACCACTTTTCGAAAAAGGGATATTAATAATTAATTAGGAAAATATATAAAAAAAATCGATTAAATGCCGTATCCAAAGGAACCAAAACTTCCGGAAATTACGTCCTTTTCGTTAGCGCTATAATTGTTGCCGCTAAAGTTGTTAGCGCCGAAGGCGGCACTTCCCGGCGCTAATACGGACGCCGCACCCTTACGGGGAGCCGCGCGGCTATAAGCTTGGGTATCCGAATGCGCCGCAATCGTGGCAAAGCTAGCGGCAATGTTACCAAAAAAAGCAATTATACCTTTTTTAAAACGCTTAAAAAACGCTTTTATTTCGTTAAAAAAGTTACCGATGCTAGCCAAAGCCTAAATTTGCTTTTTCGTTTAAACGGCGATAGCGTAAAGCTATTAGGAAATGTTTTGGGTAATTTTTAATGTTGCAACGCTGGTAATTTTGCGCTAAATGCGCTTTTAAATAACGGTTTAACGTTTGTAACGCGCAAGCTATTTGGCCGATATGGTATAAAAGGATTTAACTTTTTAAATAGCTTTGCGGGCGCGAAATTAGGCTTTAATAAGCTTTTCGAAAAGTTTCGGTATCGTTTTAAGCAACCGTTTGTAAACGGTATTTAAAATTTTGTAAAGGTTTTGGGCCATTTTTTAAAACCATTTGGGAAATTTAACGCAAGCTTTATTGCCAACCACGTCCTTGCAATAAATACATTTAAAAAACCCCGTATAATTATCGGAACATATTGGCATACGGGGGTTAACGGCATAATTTTAATATGCTTAACAATTAAAATAACGGTTACAAAATACCGTACGCTCCGTATAATTATCTTTAAAAAAAGGCAAATAAATAGGGTTTTAATTATTGCTTTATTAAAAATCGATAATTTCCCGCAACGGGAGCGCGTTGCGAATACCCATATAAAACGAGGAAAAGGCAATGTCCGTTTTGGGGGCAGGTTTATTAAAATCGAAAGCATTGCGGCGGCGCTCGTTGCGCGCTTTACGCTTTTTTTTGGCGAAGGTTTTTTTGCCGCGGCGGCTAAAGCTTGCCGGGGGGTTACCGGCAAAACGTTTGCAGGAATTTTAAAAAATTGCAAGCGCAAAAGGGCCCGATGGACCCGCAACATTTAAAAAGCCTATTAAAAGGTTACCGGCAAAGCGATCGTTAAGGATTTAAAGGATTAAAAGCTTTGGCAAAACCGAATCCGAATCCAATTAAACCATAATGGCTGGGAAAAATACCGGGGGGTTGCTAAAAGGGGCTAACGGGCCGGTTAAAACCGAAAAACCCGAAGCGGATACCCAAAAAAACATTACTTTTTTTACGTAATTGGGTACGAAAAATAACATTTGCAATTACCGGTTAGGTTTAAATGTTTAAAAAGAACGGCTAAATATTAATTATTTACGGTTACAATCGTTAAAATTGTTGGAATGGTTATTAAATGCATAAAAAAAAAAAAGGACTTGTAACTTTAAGCGGGAAAAAAAGCCTTTTATATGCCGGTACGGACTTATTTTTCCGAATGTTACAAAATTTTACAACCGGTTTCCCCAAGCGTTGCCGGGCATTGGGGCGGTTTGGCGGGATACCGTAAATTACCGGTTACTTACGGGGTCGCACGCGCGGTATAAACGGTTTGGGATAGGCCGTATCGAAAAAAGGCAATATGTTAAAAGCACGGGCAAAACCGCCCGGCAAAAAGCAAAAAGCGTTAAATGCACGGGCGAAACCGCCCGGTAAAAAAGGAAAAAAGGGGCGCTAGCAACCAGCCGGGCACAAACCCCCCGGGGATATGCCGGCGAATTACCGGTATCGCGGCCAAAGCATAATGGCAAAGCTAAAAAATAAAATAAAGTTTAAATTGCACGAAAGCGTTTAAAGCGCGAAGGATTTAAAAAACCAACCCCGGGTGCCCGAAAAGGTACGAAGGAAAAGGAGGTTAAAAAAGGAACAATTTTTATTGGCGATAGCACTTTTGGTAAAAAATTTACGGAAGCTTAACAAAGGAAATACCGCATCCGGCCCGTAACCCGGTAACTACCCGCCTTTGCACCGATTAACCTTTAACACCAAACCACCGAATTAATAATACAAATTAAAAACGGTATAATTTATACAAAAAATAACGGGCCCGGCGTCCCGCTAGCGTTAAAAGCAATAAGCATTAAAACGCAAAGGCCGTTCGAAAAAAGCTTAATTATTACCAATACAATCCTTTATCGGGATTTTGGCTTAAAAATAACGTGCCGCACGCCGGCAATACGCAAACGGTAAGCCAAAATTAACGCGGAAAAACGGCGCTATAGCGCTAAACCATTACCGCGCGCCAAAGCGCGCTAAAGCGCGCAAAAAACAAATATACGCCCGGAAATACCCAAACGCCGCGCTAGCCAAATTTTAAAACCAAACCAAAAAAAAATAACCAAACGCCGCGCTTAAGCATTATTATTTTTAAACCCCGAAAATTTATTTTCCGAAAACGATAACAAATTGTTAACGGTTTGTTTGCCGTTACCCGCCTTTATTACAATAACCTTTTCCATTTCGCTTTTTAAAAACGATAACGATAACGAATTGCTAACGGTTTGCCCGCCGTTACCCGCCCTTAAAAACAATAACGAAAAAAAAAAGTTACTTTTTTTCCGGTATATTTATTAATCCTTTTCGGGAAAAAAAGGAATGGCCGGGAATTTATATTGGGCGAAAAACATTACTTTAAAAAATTGGTCGAAATAATACCCCGTTACAAGCAAAAAATTCCGGCGCGTTGCTAAATATACGGTATTATTCCAATCGTTCCCGTTTTTAGCAATAGCTACAAGCTATATGGTATATATAATTTCGTAATATTCCTAAATATAAACCTTTTTAACGGCATACCAAATCGTATATCCCGGGTTGTTAAAAAAAAGCCGTACTTTCGCCCGGTTTTTTTAAGCCGGAAAACGAAAGGAATGGTAGCAAAATTAAATACTAACCAACGAAATAGCGATAGCGCGCCGCTAATACGCTAAAATAACAAAAAGGGCGGGCTAAAGCTAACATTAAAACTTTATAAAAAAAAAATAAAAGCAAAACGCAAAAACGCTAACGAAACGTTTATTTAGCGCCGGTTTTAAAGGCTATTTATGCAATAAAAGCGCCGTTCGGCGGCGTTAACGGCCTCGAAACCACGCATAAAATGGGTGCATATGCGCGCAGTACGCGCGCAAATATCCGCCGACAAAATGTACACGTTTTCGGCAACGCCGGCAAAATTTAAAAGGACCGGCGTTCCGTTGTCGATACGAAAAAAGCTTTCTGTTAGGGGTTAATCGGTGCAAAGGCGGGTGGTTACCGGGTTACGGGCTAAATGCGGTATTTCCTTTGTTAAGCCTCCGTAAATTTCTTACCAAAAGTGCTATTGCTAATAAAAATTGTTCCTTTTTTAACCTCCCCCTTTTTCGTGCCCTTTCGGGCACCCGAAGTCGGTTTTTTAAATCCTTTGCGCTCCAAACGCTTTCGTACAATTTAAGCTTTACTTTATTTTTTAGCTTTATTATTATGCTTTGGCCGCGATACCGGTAACTTGCCGGCATATTTTTAAAGGGTCCGTGCCCGGCTGGCTGCTAGCGCCTTTTTTTTTTTTTTGCCGGGCGGTTTCGCCCGTACATTTAACGCTTTCCGCTTTT